AAGGAAAGAAAACAAATACAATTAATAACGAAATATAAACTAAAGCTAAAATAAAGTGAGTAAGTTCAAGTGAAAGTGTAAATGATCAATGAATATAAATTTAGAAGTGCAAATGAAATATAAAGAAAACGTAAAATAATAAAAACATAAAAACTGCAGATGCAAATATTGCTGGCGGTATAACAAAACCCAATTCTGCGAATCCTACAAGGACCCTCCAGAATAGAAGGGCAAAACCAGCTGCTGGTTCTCAAACAAATATACGAAATTAAATTGATCATTCACATCATTCACATTAATTCGATATAAGGCATTACACACCAACACAATTACACACTACATATAAACACATTGAATTTATTAATAGTTATAAAACACAATCAATTCATTTCTCTAAAATTCCTTCAACTGAAATTTTCAACTAAACAAAATTTTGTCAAAATGTCCAACCCAAATAATTTAATTAGACCTGCCACTCTCGTCTCAACCGGTAATGAACCACCACAATCTTCTCATGCAAACATAAATACAACAGCCCAAATAACTTCACTCATTCAACAAATATTAAATGAATCATTGCCATCCTTGATACAACAATCTCAGAATCCAACTTTTGATTTCGCTAGTGCAGAACCACACGAAATTAGGCCAGAACATCAGGGAAACCTTGCAGACCTAGACAGAGTGCCCGATATAGTGAAAACTTTACGCGAATTTTCGGGAAACCCATCTGAGTTTGGATCATGGAAAAAAAGCGTAGATAGAATATTAGAAGCATACGCAAATACATTCGGTACTCCAAAATATTTCGGCATATTACAAACTATTCGCAATAAAATAACAGGTATTGCAGATATCGCGCTAGAGTCATACACTGTTCCCCTGAATTGGGAAGCTATGTCAAAATGCCTCACATTACATTACGCGGACAAACGTGACATTAGCACATTAGAATATCAAATGACCACAATAACCCAAACCCCTAATCAGACAGTGGAAGAATTCCATCAAACAGTTTATAGACACCTATCTTTGATTCTCAATAAGATAAATTGCATGAAACTATGTCATGAAGCAGAAACACTCATGACCAAGATGTACAGAGATAAAGCTCTGGACACCTTTATTCGAGGACTGCGTGGTGATCTATCACGTCTTCTTGGCATGAAGGAACCAACTGACTTACCCTCTGCTTTACATTTATGTTTAAAGTTAGAGAATCAAGCATTCCGTTCTAATCACGCGACTGGACAGCAAAACGTTTTCAGAAATTTACCTCAGAAACTGACATCAATACCTCGACAAACTCATCCTAGTAATCTAGTTTTCCAAAATAAACCACTATATCCACCAAGAAATATCCAACAACAAATCCCATCTATGATTCCTAGATTTGCTAATTTTGGACAGTTGCAACAGAGACCAATCTTTACTAATCCTACCAACCAATTTGGACAAAATTATAACCCACAATACCAGCCACCTCGTCCGTTTGCAAACAAACCACAACCAAAACCTGAACCAATGGACATCGACAAGAGCATTCAGACCAGACAGGTTAATTACATGAATAGACCACAATTCGAATCAGGGAAAAGACCACCAATGCCAATTGCAGACGTTAATAAGCGACAAAGAAATTTCAATATCCAAACGGAGACCGAACAACAAACTGCAGACATAGGAGAACAAATGCCAACAATGAATGAATATGAACAAATCATAAACGAACAAGAAGAACAGAACAACTACGACGACACACTCGCCGAATATGTTGACCAAATTTCCGCAGGTGAACAAGAATCACAATACAACGAATACACTCAGCTTAATTTTTTAGAATAGCAGACTCCTCACTACCCTATTTCGAATGCAAGGTGAGGAGCGGAGAAACACTCAGTATATTAATTGACACCGGCTCTAACAGAAACTATATTCAACCCAAGTTTGTTCCAAATCCAATACCCAATAAAAACAAATTTCATGCTGTCTCTATAGGAGGCAATATAGCAATAACCCATCACAAAATGGCTAATCTCTTTAATGATCCAGGAGCAATAGTTAAATTCTTCCTATTACCGACTCTCAAAACGTTCGATGCAATATTAGGAAACGATAGCCTAAAAGAACTTGGTGCCACCATCGACGTTGGAAAAGGAAAAATGATCTTAAGGAATGGAACAATTATCCCTATCAAACAAAAGAAATTTGAATCAGTAAATTTAATCATCCCTAGAGCAGATCACCTGACTCATCACCAGAAACTCGTGTTAAGTCAACTCTTAAAGAAATATCCTAAACTCTTTGCAGAAGCTAATGACAAACTTACCTACACCACTAATGTAAGAGCAGAAATACGCACAAATACAGATACACCAGTTTATTCTAAGTTCTATCAATATCCCATGGCTTTAAAAGATGAGGTTAATAAACAAGTTAAAGACCTTTTAGAAAACAATATTATACGACCCTCTAGATCACCATACAATTCACCAGTGTGGATTGTCCCAAAAAAATTAGATGCGTCAAATATAAAAAAATACAGAATGGTCATTGATTACAGAAAACTAAATAGTGTCACAATAGCAGATAGGTACCCTATACCAGACATCAACGGAGTACTTGCACAATTAGGTAACAACAAATTATTCTCCGTACTAGATCTTAAAAGTGGGTTTCATCAGATCCTCTTGAAAGATAAAGACATAGAAAAAACAGCGTTTTCCGTGAACCATGGTAAATACGAATTCACAAGACTCCCCTTTGGATTAAAAAATGCCCCCTCTATATTTCAACGCGCCCTTGATGATATTCTGAGAGATCACATAGGGAAAATTTGTTATATCTATATAGATGATATTATTGTCTTTAGCAAAGACGAGGAAACACATTGTACGAATCTCGACATAATCTTCAATACACTAAACGCAGCAAACATAAAATGTCAGCTAGACAAATGCGAGTTTTTCAAAACAAAAGTCGAGTTTTTAGGTTTCGTAATATCAGACAAAGGAATTGAAACAAATCCAGCAAAAATAGAAGCAATAACCAACTACCCTCTCCCAAAAACACTCAAAGAACTCAGATCATTTCTCGGACTGTCAGGATATTATAGAAGATTCATAATGGGATACGCATCAATAGCCAAACCACTTACATCATTACTTAGAGGCGAAGACGGACGAATATCAAAAGCAGCTTCATCCAGGAAGGTAATACAGTTAAATGAGGAAGCTAGGAAAGCCTTTGAGCAACTTAAAAATGCTCTAATTTCTGATGAAGTAATATTACAATATCCCGATTTCACTAAAGAATTTACATTAACTACAGATGCTTCAGACTACGCAATAGGAGCAGTACTTTCACAAGCCGATAGACCGATATCATTTATATCCAGAACACTCTCAAAAACTGAAGAAAGCTATGAAACTGCAAAAAAGGAAATGTTAGCCATATGCTGGGCCGTAAAATCTTTTAGAGGTTACCTTTATGGTGGCTCTAAGGTAAAGATCTACACAGATCATGAACCCCTTACACACGATTGTAATTGGAAGGGTGGAATAGCAATAAGGCGATGGAAATCGTATCTAGATGAATATAACAAGGAACTACTTTACAAACCAGGAAAAGAAAATGTAGTTGCTGACGCACTTTCCAGATTACCTAAGCAGAATGAAGTTAATGCAATAACAGGAACTCAACACAGTGCCCAAAGTTCTTCGCACAATCTTATTTATAGCATGAAAGTACCAATTAACGCATTTAAAAATCAGATTTTTATCCTTAAGGAACAGCCACCTGACTACAAATTCACTATTCCATTCCCTACATTCCATAGACATACCATTTCTCAGCCAACATTCTCAGACGAAGATCTTATGAAAATATTAACAAAATATTTGAACCCCTCTGTAATAAACGGAATACAAACGACAGAAGACATTATGGGACAAATTCAAAGACTATACCCGGACCATTTTAGATCTTTCAAGGTTAGATTTACTCAATCAAAAGTACAGGATGTAACAGTAGAATCACAACAGGAGGAGATAATTCTACAAGCACACAATAGAGCTCATAGAAATGCCCAAGAAAATAAGTTGCAAATATCAGAAAAATATTACTTCCCCAAAATGAAGAATAAAATAGAAACATTAGTAAAACAATGTCTGGTATGCAAAGAAGGCAAATACGATAGGCATCCCACAAATCCAGAAATAACAAAAACACCAATTCCTGAATTCCCAGGACACACGATCCATATAGATATATTTTCAACAGAAAAAAAACTTGTCCTCACAGCAATAGATAAATTTTCAAAACTAGCACAAGCAAGAATAATTAAATCAAAGTCCCTAGAAGATGTTAAAAAACCATTACACGACATCCTATTCTACTATGGTATTCCGAAATGTGTAGTAATAGACAACGAGAAGTCCCTTAACTCAGCATCCATCACGTTCATGATGAAAGACGAACTAGGCATTCAAATTTTTAAAACCCCACCTTATAAGAGTACAGTAAATGGACAAGTCGAACGATTTCATTCCACGCTTGCAGAAATAATGAGATGTTTAAAAACAAAACAGATACACAGAACATTTGACGAACTTTTAGACAGAGCCGTTTACGAATACAATTATACAATACATTCAGTTACAAAAAAACGACCCCTTGAAATATTTTTTGGTAGAAATATAACAACCAACCCTGAACAGTATGACAAAAGTAGACAAACCAATATAGAGAAATTAAAGCAGAAACAACTTACCGACATAGAAAATCATAACAAACACCGCAAAGAAATCAAAACCTACACTCCAGGGCAGACAATATTTATTAAACTTAATACCAGACTGGGATCCAAACTCACCCCTAGATACAAAAAGGAAACAGTAAAAGAAAATAGAAACACAACCATTCTTACAGAAGCAGGAAGAGTTGTGCACAAAAGCAACATAAAGAATGATTGAAAAAAAAAAAAAAATAAAAAAAAAAAAAAAAAAAAAAAAAAAAAAGATGAATAATAACTAGATATTATGTCCTTTTGTCCGAACAAAATTAAGAGAATGTAATAAATGTTTCACTAACTAATTGAAGTCGTCCGATCATGGGTATGTATCCGATTGTGACGAATCGGCCCATACCCCTAACCAATCACTGTTTAATTCTCCCGAAATTCCCATTTCAGGATTCTACTCTTGCTCTTTTTCTTGCCTACGGCAATGCCGCATATGGAGATATCAAACTACACAAAGGCCCACACTATTTCAATTCATAAAGGGATTGGAAGATTGCAAACTTCCTCTATAAAACTAATTCATATAATCGACCTCAAGCAGATAGAAACCGAGCTTTTAACTATTCGAGATCATACTATGACAGACTTAAAAAAAAGCTATCTTTATCATACATTAACTCATGAGATGGTTCAAGCCTTATCAGCATTAAGTACACTATATTTTAAAGACAGGAAAACAAGATCAATAAACTGGATAGGCTCAGCATGGAAATATGTTGCAGGAAGTCCAGATCACGACGATCTGATGTTAATCCATAATAACCTAAACAATTTAATTACAAATAACAATGACCAAGTTATAATTAACAGTCAGTTACAAGATAGGATCAATAATCTCACTTTTGTATCCAATATGTTAAAAAATTCTATCAGGGATGACAATGGATTCAGTAACGAAATAGCTATTAGCCTTCAAAACCAAGTTCGACTACTAAAAGAGGAAATAATTAATGTCAAGTACGCAATCCAATGGGCTAGACTCAATGTTATAAACTCACTTCTCTTAAATGAAAACGAACTACAAGAAGTTCATAACATTTTCCAAAAAAATAATATGTCATCTTTAACAGTTGAAGAAATGTTAGAACTCACCGATATCTCTGTGTTGCATAATAAAACTACTATTATTTACATTGTAAAAATACCAGAATTAGATTCAACAAATTTCGAAAATTTAATAATAAAGCCAGTAATAAAAAATAATCTGATAGTTAATATTGAAGCAAACGAAATATTTTTATCTGATAACGATATATTAAAGATACCCAATAATTGTAAAACAACTAAAGAATTTAAAATATGCTATAAGAAAAAAACTGTAAACCTTCAACACACAAATTGTATTGCTAAGTTAGTTAGGGGAAAAGAATCGCTGTGCGGCTTTACCAACGCAGACCACATCCAGACAATCGAAGAAATAGACAACAGCCTCCTACTACTAAACAACTTTAACGGCAGTATACGACAAGGCAACAAAACACACCAACTTAGAGGAACTTACCTACTACATTTTTGGAATGATTCAATTATAATAGATAAAAAAGAATTTAATAACAAAGAGAAGACAATACTTAAACCCGGAGTCCCACTTATCCAGATGACCCCGACGGAAATGGAAAGGTTACAAATACTTTCATTAGAATCCCTCCAAGCACTAAATGTAAAAAATACAAAACATTTAAACCTTATAAAGACCCATTCAACGAATAATAGTATCGCCATATTCTGCCTACTTGGTACAATAATTACTTCAATCTTCATCACAAGATGTGTTATGAAACCTAAAGATAACATAATCATCCAGGAAACTCTACAAATCCCAAACAATAACATAAAGTTGAACAACATTAAACCAATTCAACTAGAATTCAACAACATTCCATATTTCTAGTACCAACTTGAGGACAAGTTGAATTCTAAGGAGGAGGAGTTAACAACAACATTGTTCGCCACATGAACAAGAGTTCAGTGGCGGAAACAATTCCGCAACTTTGTGACCAAACAGTTGCGCCGACCCAAGATTCCGGGAACATAAATAAAATCCCAAAATGCTTAATTAACAATTGTCGCCGCCAACGGAAAAGTATCCGTTTACGCCGACGTCGCCACCAGCTATAAACAAATCCAAAATGCTGAAACTGCAATTGTCGCCGTCAGCAGAAAAGTATCCGCCTACGCCGACGTCGCCACGAGCTACGCCAGCGTCGCTGCCGAAAGCGCACAGCTAGTTTAGGGATATCTTAAGTTTATAAATTCAGTCCGATTTTTATTCTCCAATAAAGAAGTTCAACATTCAATCTTTTGGAAATTAACTGGCGCCCGAGCAGGGACCAGAAGAGGAAATCTGATTAAGTTCGATCAGTACAGGAGACCCCTACGCAACTCCAACAGGAGGACAATTGATTAAGTTCAATTGCGAGGAAACTTTCGGTACGACTCTTTTGGCCCGTCAACCTTGCGTTCCGGTAGGACTCTTCCGAAAGGAAACCGGAACAACATCGGCGGACTACAATCTCTGTAAGGTTCGTCCACAGAGAGCCCTTTATTCGTGTCGATCGCAGGATCCCAAGTAGGAAGCAAAAAGGACCAAATCCGGATCACCAGAAGGAGTAGCCGTACCTAACATTTTTTAAAATGTAAGTTAGTGAATAAGTGAACAAAAGCATACCTCAAAAGGAAAGAAAACAAATACAATTAATAACGAAATATAAACTAAAGCTAAAATAAAGTGAGTAAGTTCAAGTGAAAGTGTAAATGATCAATGAATATAAATTTAGAAGTGCAAATGAAATATAAAGAAAACGTAAAATAATAAAAACATAAAAACTGCAGATGCAAATATTGCTGGCGGTATAACAAAACCCAATTCTGCGAATCCTACAAGGACCCTCCAGAATAGAAGGGCAAAACCAGCTGCTGGTTCTCAAACAAATATACGAAATTAAATTGATCATTCACATCATTCACATTAATTCGATATAAGGCATTACACACCAACACAATTACACACTACATATAAACACATTGAATTTATTAATAGTTATAAAACACAATCAATTCATTTCTCTAAAATTCCTTCAACTGAAATTTTCAACTAAACAAAATTTTGTCAAAATGTCCAACCCAAATAATTTAATTAGACCTGCCACTCTCGTCTCAACCGGTAATGAACCACCACAATCTTCTCATGCAAACATAAATACAACAGCCCAAATAACTTCACTCATTCAACAAATATTAAATGAATCATTGCCATCCTTGATACAACAATCTCAGAATCCAACTTTTGATTTCGCTAGTGCAGAACCACACGAAATTAGGCCAGAACATCAGGGAAACCTTGCAGACCTAGACAGAGTGCCCGATATAGTGAAAACTTTACGCGAATTTTCGGGAAACCCATCTGAGTTTGGATCATGGAAAAAAAGCGTAGATAGAATATTAGAAGCATACGCAAATACATTTGGTACTCCAAAATATTTCGGCATATTACAAACTATTCGCAATAAAATAACAGGTATTGCAGATATCGCGCTAGAGTCATACACTGTTCCCCTGAATTGGGAAGCTATGTCAAAATGCCTCACATTACATTACGCGGACAAACGTGACATTAGCACATTAGAATATCAAATGACCACAATAACCCAAACCCCTAATCAGACAGTGGAAGAATTCCATCAAACAGTTTATAGACACCTATCTTTGATTCTCAATAAGATAAATTGCATGAAACTATGTCATGAAGCAGAAACACTCATGACCAAGATGTACAGAGATAAAGCTCTGGACACCTTTATTCGAGGACTGCGTGGTGATCTATCACGTCTTCTTGGCATGAAGGAACCAACTGACTTACCCTCTGCTTTACATTTATGTTTAAAGTTAGAGAATCAAGCATTCCGTTCTAATCACGCGACTGGACAGCAAAACGTTTTCAGAAATTTACCTCAGAAACTGACATCAATACCTCGACAAACTCATCCTAGTAATCTAGTTTTCCAAAATAAACCACTATATCCACCAAGAAATATCCAACAACAAATCCCATCTATGATTCCTAGATTTGCTAATTTTGGACAGTTGCAACAGAGACCAATCTTTACTAATCCTACCAACCAATTTGGACAAAATTATAACCCACAATACCAGCCACCTCGTCCGTTTGCAAACAAACCACAACCAAAACCTGAACCAATGGACATCGACAAGAGCATTCAGACCAGACAGGTTAATTACATGAATAGACCACAATTCGAATCAGGGAAAAGACCACCAATGCCAATTGCAGACGTTAATAAGCGACAAAGAAATTTCAATATCCAAACGGAGACCGAACAACAAACTGCAGACATAGGAGAACAAATGCCAACAATGAATGAATATGAACAAATCATAAACGAACAAGAAGAACAGAACAACTACGACGACACACTCGCCGAATATGTTGACCAAATTTCCGCAGGTGAACAAGAATCACAATACAACGAATACACTCAGCTTAATTTTTTAGAATAGCAGACTCCTCACTACCCTATTTCGAATGCAAGGTGAGGAGCGGAGAAAACACTCAGTATATTAATTGACACCGGCTCTAACAGAAACTATATTCAACCCAAGTTTGTTCCAAATCCAATACCCAATAAAAACAAATTTCATGCTGTCTCTATAGGAGGCAATATAGCAATAACCCATCACAAAATGGCTAATCTCTTTAATGATCCAGGAGCAATAGTTAAATTCTTCCTATTACCGACTCTCAAAACGTTCGATGCAATATTAGGAAACGATAGCCTAAAAGAACTTGGTGCCACCATCGACGTTGGAAAAGGAAAAATGATCTTAAGGAATGGAACAATTATCCCTATCAAACAAAAGAAATTTGAATCAGTAAACTTAATCATCCCTAGAGCAGATCACCTGACTCATCACCAGAAACTCGTGTTAAGTCAACTCTTAAAGAAATATCCTAAACTCTTTGCAGAAGCTAATGACAAACTTACCTACACCACTAATGTAAGAGCAGAAATACGCACAAATACAGATACACCAGTTTATTCTAAGTTCTATCAATATCCCATGGCTTTAAAAGATGAGGTTAATAAACAAGTTAAAGACCTTTTAGAAAACAATATTATACGACCCTCTAGATCACCATACAATTCACCAGTGTGGATTGTCCCAAAAAAATTAGATGCGTCAAATATAAAAAAATACAGAATGGTCATTGATTACAGAAAACTAAATAGTGTCACAATAGCAGATAGGTACCCTATACCAGACATCAACGGAGTACTTGCACAATTAGGTAACAACAAATTATTCTCCGTACTAGATCTTAAAAGTGGGTTTCATCAGATCCTCTTGAAAGATAAAGACATAGAAAAAACAGCGTTTTCCGTGAACCATGGTAAATACGAATTCACAAGACTCCCCTTTGGATTAAAAAATGCCCCCTCTATATTTCAACGCGCCCTTGATGATATTCTGAGAGATCACATAGGGAAAATTTGTTATATCTATATAGATGATATTATTGTCTTTAGCAAAGACGAGGAAACACATTGTACGAATCTCGACATAATCTTCAATACACTAAACGCAGCAAACATAAAATGTCAGCTAGACAAATGCGAGTTTTTCAAAACAAAAGTCGAGTTTTTAGGTTTCGTAATATCAGACAAAGGAATTGAAACAAATCCAGCAAAAATAGAAGCAATAACCAACTACCCTCTCCCAAAAACACTCAAAGAACTCAGATCATTTCTCGGACTGTCAGGATATTATAGAAGATTCATAATGGGATACGCATCAATAGCCAAACCACTTACATCATTACTTAGAGGCGAAGACGGACGAATATCAAAAGCAGCTTCATCCAGGAAGGTAATACAGTTAAATGAGGAAGCTAGGAAAGCCTTTGAGCAACTTAAAAATGCTCTAATTTCTGATGAAGTAATATTACAATATCCCGATTTCACTAAAGAATTTACATTAACTACAGATGCTTCAGACTACGCAATAGGAGCAGTACTTTCACAAGCCGATAGACCGATATCATTTATATCCAGAACACTCTCAAAAACTGAAGAAAGCTATGAAACTGCAAAAAAGGAAATGTTAGCCATATGCTGGGCCGTAAAATCTTTTAGAGGTTACCTTTATGGTGGCTCTAAGGTAAAGATCTACACAGATCATGAACCCCTTACACACGATTGTAATTGGAAGGGTGGAATAGCAATAAGGCGATGGAAATCGTATCTAGATGAATATAACAAGGAACTACTTTACAAACCAGGAAAAGAAAATGTAGTTGCTGACGCACTTTCCAGATTACCTAAGCAGAATGAAGTTAATGCAATAACAGGAACTCAACACAGTGCCCAAAGTTCTTCGCACAATCTTATTTATAGCATGAAAGTACCAATTAACGCATTTAAAAATCAGATTTTTATCCTTAAGGAACAGCCACCTGACTACAAATTCACTATTCCATTCCCTACATTCCATAGACATACCATTTCTCAGCCAACATTCTCAGACGAAGATCTTATGAAAATATTAACAAAATATTTGAACCCCTCTGTAATAAACGGAATACAAACGACAGAAGACATTATGGGACAAATTCAAAGACTATACCCGGACCATTTTAGATCTTTCAAGGTTAGATTTACTCAATCAAAAGTACAGGATGTAACAGTAGAATCACAACAGGAGGAGATAATTCTACAAGCACACAATAGAGCTCATAGAAATGCCCAAGAAAATAAGTTGCAAATATCAGAAAAATATTACTTCCCCAAAATGAAGAATAAAATAGAAACATTAGTAAAACAATGTCTGGTATGCAAAGAAGGCAAATACGATAGGCATCCCACAAATCCAGAAATAACAAAAACACCAATTCCTGAATTCCCAGGACACACGATCCATATAGATATATTTTCAACAGAAAAAAAACTTGTCCTCACAGCAATAGATAAATTTTCAAAACTAGCACAAGCAAGAATAATTAAATCAAAGTCCCTAGAAGATGTTAAAAAACCATTACACGACATCCTATTCTACTATGGTATTCCGAAATGTGTAGTAATAGACAACGAGAAGTCCCTTAACTCAGCATCCATCACGTTCATGATGAAAGACGAACTAGGCATTCAAATTTTTAAAACCCCACCTTATAAGAGTACAGTAAATGGACAAGTCGAACGATTTCATTCCACGCTTGCAGAAATAATGAGATGTTTAAAAACAAAACAGATACACAGAACATTTGACGAACTTTTAGACAGAGCCGTTTACGAATACAATTATACAATACATTCAGTTACAAAAAAACGACCCCTTGAAATATTTTTTGGTAGAAATATAACAACCAACCCTGAACAGTATGACAAAAGTAGACAAACCAATATAGAGAAATTAAAGCAGAAACAACTTACCGACATAGAAAATCATAACAAACACCGCAAAGAAATCAAAACCTACACTCCAGGGCAGACAATATTTATTAAACTTAATACCAGACTGGGATCCAAACTCACCCCTAGATACAAAAAGGAAACAGTAAAAGAAAATAGAAACACAACCATTCTTACAGAAGCAGGAAGAGTTGTGCACAAAAGCAACATAAAGAATGATTGAAAAAAAAAAAATAAAATAAAAAAAAAAAAAAAAAAAAAAAAAAAAAAGATGAATAATAACTAGATATTATGTCCTTTTGTCCGAACAAAATTAAGAGAATGTAATAAATGTTTCACTAACTAATTGAAGTCGTCCGATCATGGGTATGTATCCGATTGTGACGAATCGGCCCATACCCCTAACCAATCACTGTTTAATTCTCCCGAAATTCCCATTTCAGGATTCTACTCTTGCTCTTTTTCTTGCCTACGGCAATGCCGCATATGGAGATATCAAACTACACAAAGGCCCACACTATTTCAATTCATAAAGGGATTGGAAGATTGCAAACTTCCTCTATAAAACTAATTCATATAATCGACCTCAAGCAGATAGAAACCGAGCTTTTAACTATTCGAGATCATACTATGACAGACTTAAAAAAAAGCTATCTTTATCATACATTAACTCATGAGATGGTTCAAGCCTTATCAGCATTAAGTACACTATATTTTAAAGACAGGAAAACAAGATCAATAAACTGGATAGGCTCAGCATGGAAATATGTTGCAGGAAGTCCAGATCACGACGATCTGATGTTAATCCATAATAACCTAAACAATTTAATTACAAATAACAATGACCAAGTTATAATTAACAGTCAGTTACAAGATAGGATCAATAATCTCACTTTTGTATCCAATATGTTAAAAAATTCTATCAGGGATGACAATGGATTCAGTAACGAAATAGCTATTAGCCTTCAAAACCAAGTTCGACTACTAAAAGAGGAAATAATTAA